CTCAGAGCCAACTGCCAAGAGGGCTGGCCCACCTCCTAGGAGGGGCCGCAGGGCTCGAAGAAACAGAGCTAGAGGCAACAGGTGGGTCCCCAGGGGCCAGAGCACCGAGAGGCGGGAGCAGCCACCCACATCTGCCAGGTGGGAGTCTGACGCCTCCTCCGAGGGCAGCCTGGGCATCGTGCTCGAGGAGCTGGACCAGGACGACCTGAGCGCGGACGAGGCGCAGAGCGCGCTGTCCGCCACGCTGCACCAGGCCGCGAGGGAGCTCAGCACGAAGGAGTGGGCCCTGCAGGGCCGCGCCAACACAGGAGAGGGGCCCCGCGAGTTATTGGCCCTGGTGACGGTGACGGACGAGGCCAAGCAGGAGCCGACGGAGAAAGAGGCCTCGGAGCCCCAGGCCGTCAGCCTGGACGGCAGCGGCGGCAGCGGCGAAGGCCGGAGCCGCGTCCCCGACTTAGTGGCCCTGCTTGCTGTGCGAGACGCGGGCGACGAGGAGCCCGTCTACCGCGACGCTCCCCAAGGCGAGTCGCAGCCGAACGGGGCTCCGGGAGACGAGGCGCTGGAACACCCCGAGTTTGTGGCCATTGTGGCCTCTACGGACCCGTCGGACCCCTCGGCCCGCGAGGAGCTGCTGAAGATCGCTTCCGTGATCGCGTCCCTGGGCTGGAGCCCCCGCACAGACCCGACCGATGCCCTGGGCGAGGTCCTGTCCGTCCTGTGCCAGGACACTGGGGGAGCCCGCGTGCAGGTGCAGCAGGCCGGCCGCCGGGTGGACGGCCTGGTGCTGCGGAAGGCCACGGGCGGCGGGAGCCTGCGGGAGTGCGTGTGCGCCCTGGCCGCGCCCGACCCCCAGTCCCCTGGCAGGAGGGCGCCGCGTGGCCTCCTGGCGGGCTGGGACGACGGCGAGGGGGGCCTCCTGGAGCTCGTGGCGCTGCTGGCCGCGCGGGACACGGCGGGGGTGACGCCGGAGGCCGGGGACAGCGGCCGGGAGGGCGGGCGGGGCGGGCGCGCCGGAGGCCAGCTGGGCGAGGTGCTGGCGCTGCCGGCTGCGGGGGAGGGCGCGGCGGCGGAGGCGGCGGCGGAGGCGGCGGAGAGCCGGGAGTCGGGACCCGAGCGCCGGGCGTCCGGGAAGGCGCGGACCAAGCGGGCGCGCACGGCCTCCGGGACCCTGGGCGAGATGGCGGCGGCCCCGGGCCCGTCGGGCTCCCGCAGACGCCGAGGGGCAGGCGGAGGCCGCGGCGGGCGGGCGGTCACTCCCGAGACGCGCGCGTGGGACCCGGCGGCGGCGCAAGGGAAAAAGAAGGGGCGCGCGGGCGCGGGGGCCCAGGTGCAGGCCGGCGAGGCCAGGGCTCAGCCGCCCCCCGGCTCCGAGTCAGCCCGAGGGAGGAAGGCTCGTAGCGGCTGGAGGCAGCCCCCCAAGCGCCGCTAGGGGAACCCGGAGTCGCGCGGCCGCACGCCGGGCGCTGCCCCCGCCCCCAGCGGCAGAGGCGGCCTCCCGGCTTCACCGCGCCACCCTCGGCTTCGCCGCGCCGCGGGCCGCCCGCCTCCCCGGCGCCTCTCTGTCCCACCATCGCGGGTGGCGGGAGCGGTCCCCAGGAAAGAGGGAGAGACACGCGGGCACCCCAGAAGCAGCAGCCCCAGGGGATGGGACGGCGTCTTGGTGCCCACCGTGGGGGCTGGGTTTTGGGCGGTGCCGGGTTAGCACAGGGCGGTGGGGAGGCTCGATTTGCTAGAAAATTCTTTCAAGCTCTGCGAGGCGCCCATCCTTCCAGACACCTGCTTCTGGCCAGCGTCTGTGGGCCCCTGTCCCCGGGCCCCAGTCTCATGGGGCCTGAGGTCTGGAATGGAGCCTGGGCCACCCAGCTGGGCGGTGGGTGTCTGCACGGAGTGGACGCCTGAAGGCTGATCCTCCCTGCTTGGGGGAGGAGATGATTCCAGAAAGAACAGCAGTCGAAGGGCAGAGGGGGCAGCTCCTGGGGGAGGGAGAGTTCCTCTAGGAGAGGAGGGAGGACAGGTGGGGAAGGGTGGGGCAGGGGAGGAAGAGGAGGAGGAAGAAGAAGGTGGAAAAGCACCAGCCTTGTCCCCCTCAGGTGCAGCTGAGACAAGTGACCCAGCTCCTCAAGGCTAAGGCCAGGCAGCTGCTACTGTCCACAGGCTGAATCTGTCCCTCGGGCTGCCCAGTGAGTTCCAGGAATCTGGATTATTTGCCACCATTTGCAATCCCACGAACTCCGGAGTTCTGGCTTCCCTCAATGGCTGTGCAGGGCAGCTCACCTCCCTCAGGCCTGTGGTCGCCTCTCCACCCCCACCCACGCCTGTTGTCCCAGCAGCTGTGCCGTCTGTCCCGTGGGCTGACCAGGCCCTCAGTAGTGGCCTTGCAGGGGGCATAAGAGGAGGCAGGTCCCGGGTTCACCCTCTGAGTGACTCAAGCCTCAGAGGGGACCCTGAGGGGCAGGGGCGGGTCCAGCCAGTGTAGGAGCTGCCCTGGGAATGGGAATGGCTGGAGAGGAAGGAAGTGACCCCAGGAGGGAGCTGCAGCCCAGCCCCCAGGTCCCCCC